TAGAGCTACCTCATAGGGTTTCCTCTGAGTATTAAGTTAATATGTGGTGGCAGGGCTGAGGCAGGGTGTGGGCAGTCTTCTTGAGTGAAAAATTTAAGGGGGTACCAAAATTCAACAATTAAGTAATAGTTTAATGCAATAAAATGAAAATACCAGTATTTTACTTATTTTTTATTTATTGTTTTAAAATTTAAATTTAATTTTTATTGAATTTATTTGGGAGACATCGGTTAATAAAATTACATAGGTTTCAGGTGTACAATTCTATAACACATGATCTGTATATTGTAGTGTGTGTTCCCCACCCCAAGTCAAGTCTCCTTCCATAACTATTTATTCCCCTCTTACCCTCTTCTATCTCCAACAACCCCTTTTTATTTTTGCTAAATCTCTTTATCTTTTTCATCCAGCCCCCACCCCCCCTCCCCTCTGACAGCTTTCAGTCTGTTCTCTGTATCTGAATCTGTTTCTGTTTTGAGTATTAGATTCCACATATAAGAGAAGTCATATGGTACTTATCTTCCTCTGACTGGCTTATTTCACTCAGCATAATATTATCCAGGTCCATCCATGGTGTCACAGAGGGTGAGATTTCCTTCCCTTTTATGGCCAAGTAGTATTCTATTGTGTACATGTATCTCAATTTTTAATATCAATATTTTAAGTAAATACTAGATTCAGTAGGACTGAGATTAGGATATAGTCAGTGAGTTGTACAAGTGCAGGGTTATATCCTGTCTTTATTTAAAAATTTTCATAGCCTTTCATCACGGTTATTTTATATTTTGATATTTTAAAATATTGCAACAAAATGTTATTTGTCTTGATTACTGGATGTGTTCCCTCCCTTCAATTCCTCCCCCACCCCCAAGTTGAGTGCCTCACTCATCTCACCCAACTAGCAGGCCAGTGTGTTGGTGTTTGTTGTTGGTAGTGGGTTTCCAGCTGCCCTTCTTTGTTCTTCTGGCTGGACTAAATCAGACTAACATGAGACGGATTAACAAGAGAAAGGACCCAGATTTATTGCATATGTACATATGGGGGGTTCCCTAAGAATATGGGACCCAAGAACAGATGGGACAGTTAAAGGCTTATATGCCATCTGAGCTAAGGAGAGTGGGGAGGAGTTGTGATTTGGGACTTCAAAGGGCCGGAAGGCAATTCACATGGAGATTGAAAAGCAAATATTTGGTAAATAAGTATTTGCTGGATCATCTTGACCATGGGAACTGGGAGGACTTGTTAGATTCCTCCCTATAACACTTTGTTCGTGTTAAACTATAGTTATCTCTGATAATAGTTCTTTCTTGGAGCAGGTTCTCTGTCTAAATTCCTTTTAGACAGGGAAGGTCAATGGTTTTTCCTGAGTTCGTTTCTTGAAAATAACCAGCTTACAATGATCAATATCTCAAAAGGCATATTTTGGGGTGGCAGATTTTGTTTTACGTTAATTGCTATGATATTCTGTAGAGGAAGTGAATTCTAAGAACCTAGTAGAGGATTAATTTTCTCCCAACATAGATATTTCTATTAGTTGTCTCAGTGCCAGTCAAAATCTTATAATCAAGGTCAGTTTTAGGTTCTGAATGTCATGTTTCAAACTCTGCTGGAGCTCAAATCCCAGAGAATAAAAAATGGGAACACTTAGCTTATGTCTGGAGGAACCTAGCCAAGCCAAACAGCACTGAAATATTGCTTGTCCTTGATGGCCAGGGTTGTGAAAGACAGCCACAGATGGTGGCTGAGCCATAGCTGGAACTACTGTTAGTCTGTTCGAGATGCTCTAAGTGATAGGAGCCAGGAATCCACCCACTAGGGCTGGGGGAGGTGGGTGGGAAGTGGTGTTTCTAGAAGTTAAATTATGATGATAGAATCTTTCTGTAAATCTGCATCTATTCCAATTTGCTTTCAGTTATGTAGACCTGATTATAAACATGTCTTAGAAATCTGTTTTATAATTAGTGGCCCTTGAAAGGCAGGAAAAATGTTGCAGAAACAATTTTTTAAAGCTTTATTCTTGGCAGTCCAAGTGTTACACAAGGCAAGGCAGCTGTTATCTGTTGGGGCATCATCCCCATTGCCATGGTGTCTCTTCCTCCTTCCCTCCTTCCCTCCAATTCTCTCTTTTATCTTTTTTTTCTTTTTGACACAGATTTATTCAATGATACTTTCTGCACAAAGTAGTAGAAATAGTTGCTCTTACAGGAACTGGATGTTGTTGATGCTTTGTATAAAGTAGGTGGAGGTGAATAAAGTAATAATCATTATAGCTGCTATCATTGGCTTTGATTTAAATTTATCTGAATTTTCTCTATTATTATTTTTTCTTTAATTTTTTAAAAAAATATTTTTATTAATTTCAGAGAGGAAAGGAGAGGAAGAGAGAGATAGAAACATCAATGATGAGAGAGAATCATTGATCGGTTGCCTCCTGCACACCCCCTACTAGGGATTGAGTCCGCAACCTGGGCACGTGCCCTTGACCAGAATCCAACCTGGGACCCTTCAGTCCGTAGGCTGATGCTCTATCCACTGAGCAAAACCAACCAGGGCTATCTTTTTTTTCTTTTTTTTTTTAGATTGCAAAGAATGTACTTGAGAACTGGAATGAGTTTAAAACACAACTTTATTTTGTTGGCTACTGCCAGACATTACTGCCTTGCTGTGGCGAGCTGACTCAATTGCATGAGTCTGATTATTTTCCCCCAAAATCTTTTTATTGATTTTTAGAGAGAGGGGAAGGGAGAGAGAGAGAGAGAGAGAGAGAGAAACATTGATGTGAGAGCAGAACATCCATCTGCTGCTTCCTGCACTCCCCCTACCTGGGATCGAACCCGAAATCTTGGCATAGCCACACCGGTCAGAGTGAGTTCGATTACTTATAGAGACTCCAGGTATCTTCTGGCTTAGCATTGAAACAATAACAACAACAACAACAACAACAACAACAAAATAGGGATGGGAAATTCTTGTCTCAAAAAGAATGTATGTCACCTTCTTTGTACCAATTTTTAGAGCACAGCTGTGGCAGCTGAACTACATATGCCTGCTTTGTTTTCCTCCTGTCATTTGGCAGGTGGAGAAAGAGTGAAAGTTTTAAAGTGAGTCTAAAATTAGTATATCTGGTGCAGCATTCAATTTCCTGTAAGTGCTATTTGGAATAGCAATATGTAGCAGAAGAAGATATAGAGATGTGAGTACAGAAGAAGCTTAGAGGTTGAAATCCAGGGGCCAGTGCAGTTTGATTCGTGAAGGAAATATTCTCAGATATCTAGGAACTCATGGAATAGAAGCCACTGTGCAAATAGATTGTCTTACCCTGAAAGTGATCCTTGGTTTAATGGGCAGGGTTTAATGTTTCCTATTGGGTAATTTAGCAGCTCATCTTTAGATTAGTTAGTGAAGTAGGACTTCCTGAGTTGAAAAATGAAATCCAATGCTTCCTCTTCCTTCTCACTACTTCTGTCCTGGGGCCAGCTTGGACTGAGTTAGAGATTTACAAACCAAAATCCTGGTTGTTAGTTTTGCGTCATTATGAGGTGCAGCAAGGGATTGATTGCACTGGGTGGGAGAAGATGTGCTCTTACAGTGGGAGTGACTGGTGACACTGGCTAACAGTTGTGTCATGTGGCTGGTCCTCCAGCTTTATCTCTTGCATTAGAAAGGCTTGGGTCCCCATCACCTGCTTGGAAGGCACATAGTATTCTACTCCACTCCACTCCACTATGCACCTCTCCCTAATCACCTCTTTCCCAGCTTTCATGCTTCTACTTGGGTCCCCATCACCAGCTTGGAAGGCACATAGTATTCTACTCCACTCCACTGACTATGCACTCTCCCTAATCACCTCTTTCCCAGCTTTCATGCTTCTGGAATTCTTCACTTCTGCTTGCAAGTCTTTTCTTGTAAGGGCTGCCCTTTTCTGCACTCCTGCACACACATGTTGGTGTGTGGGTGATAGGGATTAGAGTCTGGCATAGGCAACCTCTTGACATGGCATATTAAACACCTCTGCCCTATGACCTGTCAGTCATTCCCTATACATTCCTCTAGCTCTGCCCTTCCCTCCCCTAACTTAGAGTTCAATTTGTTAACTTCTTGCTCTTTTCCTTTCTGGAGAATGTGTTCTTTTTCTGTCTCCCAGATTTCAATCCTCCAATACTTTCTTATCCAGAACAGTTTACCTCTTCACTACTAACCCCTCGGTTGCAGGCTCCATCCCCAGCCCTGGTTGGAGGGGGGAGGGTAGGGTATGGGAGGCAACCAATCGATGTGTCTCACATATCGATACTTCTCTCTCTCTCTCTCTCCCCCTATCCTGTCCACTCTCTAAAATTCAATGGAAAAATAACCTTGGATGAGGATTAACAACAAAAAAAGACTGTTTCCCTATGCCTAGGATAGATCCTCATGTTTAATGTTTATTACTTTTTTCTTGCAACATTTTATTTTGCTTTTCTTTTAAAAAACAAAAAGAACAATCCATCTTTATTCACTTATTCAACTTAAAAACGATTGAAGGTATCCTTAGCTCCCTGAGGCTTAGTTTAAGCCACTCAGGTGAACAAGACATACTCTAAGGTGTCCAGAAGGGGAGAAGGCGGTTGGTTGAACAGAGGATTCCAGTGTGGGAGTAATTTGGAGGAAGAGACTAATTAATTGCTTGAGGAAATGGAGGAATGCTTTGGAGTCTGGGCCTGGGAAGACTGCCCACTGTAGGGCATGTGTTAAGAGTGCAGCCTGTGGGATCGCATTGTCTGGGCAGCCGGCCAGCAAGTTGTGCAAGCACTACATATCTCCATTTCTTCCACTACATCCAGGACTAATAATGGCACTACCCTATTAGTGTTCTAAGAATTAAATGAGATAATGCATACAAGGGATCAGAGTAAGGCTTGGCCCAGTGTTTTTGTTTGTTTTGTTTTTGGTGTGTTTGTTTTAATTTTTTAAAAAATGACCTATAATGTTGAAATAAATTTTTCTCTCGGCCCAAGATGGAACCACATCACCACACTGAGACTTAGGTAACTTTCATGTCCTGTAAATACTCTGCTTGATACTTTGGCTATTGTCAATATCTTGGCTGCAAGGAACATGGGGGTGCACATATCTTTTTGACTTAATGTTTTAATTTTCTTTGGATAAATACCCAGAAGTACTTCTATTTTTTAATTTGGGGGGGGGGAACCTCCATACTGATTTTCATAGTGGCTGCCCTTTGACATTATTATTCTTGCTGGGTGTTAAAGGATGGTTACATGTCACCCTACCCAGTGGACCTTATGCCCCCACTGGGAGCCCCATCAGAAAAGAATGTTAGCATCAGCTTTATGTCTCCTTCTCTTTCCCTTTGTTTGCAGGAAGGTCTGCTGCCAGCTCTGGGAGGCTGGTGAGCATGGCACATCTTTGGTGTCCTTGTAGTTTTCCACCAGAGCATTCCCAGGGAGCTATGACTGAGGGAGGGAGGCAGGGATGGAGGACAGTCCCTCATGGCAGCAGTAGCAGCCCATCATCTGAGCAGATGGCACTGGAGGAAACAGCAGCTTCCCTGGAGCTGATCTGCAGCCAAGAACCTGCACGGAGAGGCAGCTGAAAAGGTGTCTGGCACAGCCAGACCCACACCCCAGGCCTTCTGCAATGGGAAGGAATTTCTTTTTATGTTGCTTTAAAAGTGAAATTCCTCCCTGCCCTCTGAATGGGGTGGTAATGGGTTTGTGATAAGGTTATAGGGGAGGCAGAGAAAATCTAGAGAGCTCAAGAGATTTGAAGTATGGCCCTGCTCCTCAGGACTGAAAGTGCCTGGTGGACATCAAAGCAGACTTGCAGAATGTGGGCTTGAGGAGATGCTTAAGCATTTTGGGTCTAAAACTCATCTATAATTTTGGCAGATCTTTCAGATGACTTGCCTTTTCCCACTTGTTCCCTTGCCCGGCATCTGTTGCCTCCATCCCAATCTGCTTTTTCTCCTTTGCTGCTTATATAAGGCGGCACATGGTCCTACACCAGATGTTCATGGTGTACTTATGAGTGCATGTGTTCCTATTCTGGGCCAAGAAAATACTCCTGATGTAGGACATCCAATATTTTTTAGTTTATGTAACCCCAACTCTTTCGTGATTTATTTAACATCTTAAAACGGGATTACTGCACTGTTTTAGTCTTTGAATCAGTGTGGAGGGTCAAATAGTAATGAACCTGCTGGTGGAATGAGAAAGCTTATGGAAGAAGAATCTGCTGAATATCCTTTGTGCTTTGATATTGTGTCACCATCGTTCTCAGTAATGCTAGCCGCTCCCTTACCCAAAGTCGTCATGGCTTTTGGCCATGCATATTTTTATCTTGGCTATTATAGAAACACACCCACTGCCAACACGTTTCTGGACCTAAAGTTACAAAATTAGACGGAGTGTAAATATCCAGTCTGGCTAGAGAGAAAAGAGCAAAGAGGCATCACAAAGCATTGGCCCTTATTCCAGAAAGTCTTCCAGGCAAGGAATGATAGAACGCTGACAGATGATTCAGGTTGGAGTTCTGGTCCGGACTCCACTCCTCACATCTAGAATGGGTTTAATGATCCATGCCTTGGCTGCCCGTGAAAGCAAGGAGACTTTTCTTAACCTCTGAGGTCCCTTACATCACTGCAGAGGTGGAATCTCATGATTAAGAGGACATGAGTGTGTACCCTGGCCGGTGTGCTCAGCGGTTAGAGTGTCAGCCCATGGATGGAAGGGTTGCATCAGCCCATTGATTCCAGGTCAAGGGCATGTACCTGGATTGCAGGTTCAATCACTCGTCCTGCTCAGGGCGCGTTGGGGAAGCAACCAATCAATGTGTCTCTCTCACATTGATGGTTCCCGCTCAGGGCGCGTTGGGGAAGCAACCAATTGATGTGTCTCTCTCACATTGATGTTTCTCTCTCCCCCCCCCCCCCCCACCGTCTACTCTCTAAAAATCAATGGAAAAGATATCCTCGGGTGAGGGATTAGCAACAAAAATAAACAAATAAAAGGACACTAGTGTAGTTTGAGGCATACTGGGAAAGCTAGTCCACTTACCTTCCCACCTGCCCACAAAGCCAGGTACTGGAAATTGGAATTCACCTCTGAGATGATAGAGGTAGAGGGGTCCAGCTCTCTCATGCAGAGGAGGAAGCTTGAGGGCACAATAAATGAAGCACATTGATGTGTGCAGTCATGCGGAAGCAGAACTGAGAGCCAAGATTCTCGATTCCCAGTCTGATGGTAATTCCTTATATCATGCTGACTCTTTGCCTCATGATGAAGCCATTTCAGTGTTTTTAAAAGTGTATCTTCCCATGATCAAAAGGCAGATAACAAGAATAAATCAAGTAGAATGGTCTCTTATATGTGGTATTTAAAAAACAAAACAAAAGCTTTAGCTGGTTTGCCCAGTGGATAGAGCATCGGCTTGCGGACTGAAGGGTCCCGGATTCCATTCTGGTCAAGGGCACATGCCTGGGTTTGGGCTCAATCCCCAGTAGGAGGCGTGCAGGAGGCAGCCGATCACTGATTCTCTCTCATCATTGATGCTTCTATCTCTCTCTCCCTTTCCCTTCCTCTCTGAAATCAATAAAAATATATATTAAAAACAAAACAAAACAAAAAAACCAAGCTCATAAATACAGAGAACAGATTGATGGTTGCCAGAGGTGTGTAATGATGAGGGTGGGCAAAATGAGTGAAGGGGGTTAAAGGTACCAACTTCCAGTTATAAAGTAAATAAATCATGGGGGTGCAATATACAGCATGGTGACTATAGTTAATAATACTGTATTGCACATTTGAAAGTTGCTAAGAATAGATCTTAAGAGTTCTCATCACAAGAAAAATAATTTATGATGACAGATGTTAATTATACCTATTGTGTTGATTATTCCACATTTAATATACAAATATAAAATCATTATGTTGTATTCCTGAAACTAATTTAAAATTATGTCAGTTGAACCTTTATAAAAAAATCACATCATAATTATGTTTTTAATCTCACAATTAGTGGTAAAGAGATACACATTTGTCCTTTACATGAATTTGGGTTCAAATCTAGGTTAAATTTTTTTCTATTGACCTTCTTTTGACTTAGGAAATGATTAATTATATAGGTCACAGATTCAAATAACTTTAGTTACAATTTCCTTTGGTTAACATACCTTATGATGAGCTAAATATTGTACCCTAAGATTAATAGCAAAAGAAAGGTGTTGAAGACAGGTGTACTCTGTGTGGAGTCACTATTCCTCAGGAGTGACATATGATCACTGACTTGGGGATCTTAGTCTGATGTGCAAAGGAACAAAGAATGAATAGGATTAAAGTCTTGCTTTATAGTTTACTTTATAGTATTATTTTGTATTAAATAAATTATAAACCTATCCTTACCTTCTTTAGAAATAGTTTACAATCCCTAATGTCTTGTGATTTATCAGAAAACCTTTAGGGTAAAGATTGTCTGTATCACCCAGACACCCAGAAGGAGAGACGGCTCAAAAGATAGGCAGCATGTGTTTTTGGGTGGTCTAGTCTAGTATAAACCCTCACTTGGGGTGATAAACTTTCTGCTTCCTTAGTTAGAGAATATTTTGGAGTCGTAAGCTCAGACATCTTTAAAAGTTGACTCATACACATTTTGTGGGCGTTTAAAAATGTCAGGTAGCTTCAGGAGGAGCAAGCATCTCTTGTACGAACAGATCTTTTTTGTTAGGAGGTCAGGCTTGGGATCCAAATGCAACCTGTGGTAATGATCTTTCTGCACCAGCTTGAATAGGCTGAAGCAATAGTTGTGAGAACTAAATGTTCATGTGTGCGGACTGATCAGATAACAGAGTGTTGCTTAATTCAATAAATTTATTCTACTCAGTTGTTTAAGGCCTGCCTGGCAAAAATTAAGACCATAAGATAACATTTAAAGGAAACATTGCTGCTCATAATCCTCACTGTGTGGTTGAGACGGTTTTTCTGAGTTTTTATTGCCTTAAAAGTCACAACTATGATTATCATGACTGTTGAACAATACAGGAGACTGAAGATATGACAGGGGATGTAGTGAAAAGAGTTTAATAATTTGTAGGACCTTGGGTACAGGAAAACAGAGCCCGAAGATATGATAGTATCTTCAAGTAGTATCTCAAGTAGAGTGGCCCTTATTGATCCTTAAAATTGTCTCTGCCCTCAAGGGCATTATGATCTGGTATGGAGGATATGTAAACAATCTCCCTTAACAAGAAGAGTGAGATGTAGGTACAGGTACAACCACATATGGTTGTACAGGGACGTGGCAGGGCACCTGGCTAAGGGGTATGTGTGGGGCCTGTAGTCCAGTTTGGTTCTGTACACCAAGCTGTTTCCTGGCACACAGTTGAGTCAGCCTGGGGAAGTGGGCATCTTCCCAAGGGGGCACCTTTTTTCTAATCTGTACAGAATCACGTATAGACTAGCTCCAGCCTAGGTTCTGGTGGACTATAGAAGAGGGGATTACTACTCTGAAGGAAGTAGAAAATTCATGGCTCTGAGGTGGTTGGAGCATGTAGTACTTGAAGGGTACCTCTTTTAGCCAGCTTTTGCTAGCCCTTCAAATTCCAGCTCTAGGATGGGAAGCTTTCCTTGGGTCTGAGCATGGATCGAGGTGTCCACCTCTGTGTCTCTGTCCTGGGCACATCACATCAGAGCACTGCCTCCCTCCTGACCTGCCTTTCCTCCATGAGACTGTGCACTGCTTGAGGGAAGGGAGAGCAGTCTTTCTCAGCTTCGGCCTGGCACAGCGAAAGGGTCGGGGATAAAGGAACTCTGTGGTGGGAGGTGAGGTTTGAGGAGTAGTGCTTCCAGGCCAGATGGGAGTGATTCTGAATGCTAGCCTAAGGAGTTTCCATGCCATCCTGTAGGCCAGGGAATGCATTGTTGGTGTTGGAGGAGGAAGTGACCTGTGCTGACTGTGGGTTGGGAAAATTCCTCTGGAAGTTGTGTGGGGGATGGATTAGATGAGGGAGAGGGCCCTGGGGAGAGGAGGGGGTTGACTAGTAGGTACAGGATTGCAGGGTACTTAGAGTTTGGTAGGAAGTAGCTGCAAAGAAATACATACTGTAAATTTATTTGTTTATTTAGTTGAAGATATAGTGCCTACTGAGAGCAAAGTGGTTGCACAGAGCAGGACCAGGTTTTTCCCCACGGGGCAGAGTATCACTGAGTAGGTAAGTTTTGCCAGAGTTCACAAAGAAACTCACTTCTCACTATGCTCTTGTCCCTTTAGACAGGGACCTCACTATTCCAGAAGGTTAAAAGGTTTTGCACCCAACCCCCAGCATTGGTGTGTGTGTGTGTGTGTAGGGAGAGAGGGAGTTTGCACACCACCACCAAATAATTCTCCAGTACCAGC